ATGTGACTAACAATGATATCAAAATTCCTGAAAAGTACATTTTGAAAAGGTGGACAAAGAAGGCAAAAGACATTCATATTCATGACCAAAGTATTTTATCAGTTAAAGGTGATATGAAGGAGTCAAAACAATTGTTTTTAGTAAGCTTATGCAGAAAACAAGCAAGGTTATGGATTTGGCTGCATTTGATGTGAAGGCTATTCAAATTTTTGAAGAACTAATTGATCTAGAATATGAGAAAATAAAAAGCTATAAGGAGAAGTTGAGCCATAGTAACCGCGTTGGTATCGGTTTTGTCGAAAGTGAACAAATTTGTGCATCTGTTAGCAAGAAGGTTGTCAAGAATCCCCCACGAGTGCAAACGAAAGGGCGGACAAACAAAAGAATAAAGAGCTCCTTGAAAATCGTGGTCAAGGAAAGACCAAAAATGCTACATTACCTCAAAGGCAAAAATCTGATCATGTTATCATTGGTATGAATTTTATGATTTTTTTTATCCAACATTATTTTGTTTTTGTTTCCATGAATTCTAGTGCATGAGATGTTTTTTCCTACTAGTTGGGTACAGATGATGCATCATCTAACTTAAATGTTGAGTTAAATCTCTTTGGGGCGTATCCTAATATGTAGTGACAGGTACTCTTATTTATTAGCTAATTTTTTTGGCCATCAGTATTCCTTCTTTATGGTGGCTGCCAATAACACTTTTATTTTCAGTTTAATGAGTAGACTTTTGTTTTGGTTTGTATTACGATTATCCGAAATATCTATATATGGATATTGATCATTAGCTTGCTATGTTTTGATCATTGTAAAACTAAGAGGTTCTTTTATGTATCTGTTTCTTTTTTCTGTTTGCTGGGGAGTACTAAAGTTGACTTGGTGAGAAGCCACGGGATGATGCATGTGAAGATACAACTGGTGGATTCATCAAATCTTGGAATAGTTTTTTCTTCTTCTTTACTAGTTTCAGTGTTTTGACAATGATACTTTGTTTAGGCTTGTCAAAGTTTCTGTTTGGTTTTTAGTTGTTCAAACACCAAATTTCCACTGTTATATTTTAGCTAAAAGTGGTAACAGTTATACATTCTTTGATGTTGTTAAAACGTCTCCATGGTAATGTTAAACAGTTATTGAGTTGATGAAATAGACAAGGGCAGTGCTTGATTTTATTCTTTTTTTTTTTTTTTTGAAACTTTGAACAACTTTGGAGCTCCTCGTGGAGAAGCCATCATAAACTAGATATCAAAATTTTGTACATGTAACGATATGCACAAAGCCAAAAACATTACAGAAACACAATGAGCATTCAATAACACAACATAAAAACTATAGTTTCTAGTGACAAATTGGTAACACCAGACAGAAACTAGTATCTACAACCACCCAAATAGCTACTCCCAACAAAAGAGCTCTCTCACAACGGACCATTAGTTTGACTTCTACATGGCAAACAAGCTACAACTCAAAACATTCTACCTACACATATGATTTCTGGAAGCAAATGATAGGTAGAGTCCCAGTCTTTAACTTATTTTCGGCTCGTAGCTCCACTTTTGAATCGAATAGGTCCTTGTTTGGCTCTGGGTTGAGAAATGCTCAAAAAGATCATCATCGCGCCTATCATACAGCAAGGGAGCGGGCATGGATATTGTTTTCCTCATCATATCGGCAAATGCCAGCATCGCCTCATCTCCTTCAGTGTAATCAGCCTGAAGAAGATCAAGGTTGGTACCCCACTTGTTCCCCATCAGCTTGCCGCAGGGGATAATCATCTTGGAGCTCTTGAGAAAATCAAGCTAATCACAGAATGGCGATTCGAGGAGTTCTCACATAGCATTTCCCAACCTAAATGTCACAAAAACCACAGCCAGTAAGTTTCAGGACAGCTAACCATCTCAATTTGCTAAGAGACCAAAAGCTTGTTTTGAACAAGCACATGTATATGCTTCAAACCTGATTAGTTCCATTTCAATACAACTCACGGCAAATACTATAACCTTACAGTGATGCATACTCCTTTGAAGTTTATATGCTTCTCCTTCACAATAGAAAATCATTCCCTTTTCCTTGTAAAATTCAACATCTGCACGTAGATAAAAAAAAAAAAAAAAACTAGAAACAAAAATTGCAAAACTGAACAAAATAATTTAAGCAATTGCTTCACCGGACTAAAAGAAGAATAAAAAATTAGAACTAAATAAAACATATTAGTACAAGAATCCTTGTATTAACAAACCGAAGTTGAAAATTTCCAGGGAAAAGATTTCCTGCTTACTTATTAAAATTGAATACTACCCAAATCACTAAACCCCTCACCCCAATTACAAACTTACAATGGGATTTTAATTGGCAATTGAGTGCGCCACTAGCCTTTTGTAAGCAGAAAAAACTTGCAAATAGATCCGTCGATAGAAGAACCCTAACAAGGTGCATAGAATTGAAGAAAAAGATAACCATAAAAAAATGGTGAAATTGTTTTACTCCTTCTTCCGACCTTGGTGTGGGAGAGGGGGATTAACCTTTGAAGAGATCTGCGATATTGATGATTAGAGCAGCGTTGTAACTGCTTCTCCGGCGTTGACGGTGGATAAGAGTGACGGCGGCATGATTCGTGCAAGAGTGGTAAAAAAAATAGAAAAAATAATTGGGAGAAATGGTTGAAGGGAAAAGAAACATTTACCAAATGTAAAGAAACTTAAACGCGTCATAATTTCGCGACTGTGTAGAAAGAATAATTTCTCATAACTTACACCCTAACAATCACGGCTAACTTGCTTAATATCTTTGGATTTTTGCAAGTGTAACTTTGGTGACCATACCGCACGTCTTATTTGGTTGAACAGAATTCAAAATAATCTCCAACCACACCCCGTTTACGACTCCTCTCTTCCTCTAGAGTCTACTAGACTGCGACATAGTAGTCAAGCTGAAAAAACCACTCTTGTAAACTGTACCAACTAGTCTAGCGAAAATCAAAATCCATTTATATATATATATATATATATATATATATATATATATATATAAACCAACATACTGCCACCATTATCTGCAAAACAAACTTTTTTTATGTTAATCAAATGAGTATGCATATTGTTTCATCCGTGTTATCTCAGCTCTCAGCTTTGATCTTAGATGAGGCAAACTTGTTAGGAGGGGTTGGACAAGAGATCCAACATTTAGTTGCTGAACTTGGACACATGCAAGCTTTCTTAAGATTTGCGGAATCTAAGGAAGAAGAAGATCCTAGACTTGAAGAATGGATGGTTCAAGTTCAAGATGTTGCTTATGATATCCAAGATGTTTTGGATGAATACATGTTGTGTTTTGGGCATCATCATGGGCATGGGTTTTCTGGGTATGCTCGCAAGATTTTCTCATCGATCAAGAACTTGCGAGCGTGCCATCATATTGCTATTGCAATACAATGCATTAAGTCTAGAATCAATACTATTTCCGAGAGTTATAAGAGGTACCAATTTGAATATGGTACTTCCTCTAACCAAGCCATAGTTTCTTCATCTGTGGTGTCAAACAACTCATGGCAAGTTTATAGGGATGACACCCCCTTACTGGTGGAAGAAGCAAAGTTGGTGGGTATTGATCGCCCGAAACAACAACTCATTTCTCAACTCCTTGATGGCAATCCTGAGCTTAAAGTTGTATCAGTTCTTGGAATGGGAGGAATAGGGAAAACCACACTGATAAAAAAAGTGCAAGAAGATGGGAGTGTATTAACACATTTCCAAGTCATCGCATGGGTCACAGTTTCCCAAACCTATGATATGAAGGAGTTGCTCAAGGACTTGATGCAGCAACTGTATTGTGGGGTTCCGAAATCCAGCCCTCAACCAGATGCTAAAATGGAGCAGTTAAAAGTGGCTGTCAAGGACTTTCTCCAAAACAAAAGGTACTAATATTGTTGGTTTCTTTGATACAAGTCCCTAATTAAGGGTCCATGGGAGCTCTTGATATATAAGAAATAGTACGTCGTAGTTGGTTTTTTACACAAAGAAGTAAAATATCACTCTGTTGAAAACTTGTGTGCTTTGCTCAATCCATTAGTCATCATTTCATATATAAAGAAATGAAAGAATCAAATCTTCTCAATGGTATCCACAGAAAATCTGAAAATCCTTATGAGAAACTATCTAGTTAACTTTTGAGAAGCAAACAATAATTCCAAAAATCTGATTTAGGTGAAACCTATTTTTATTTTCTGTGCAGTAAATGTTTCACTTTTAAACAGATACATAATTGTCTTTGACGATATCTGGGATCCAAATTTTTGGGAGGCAATTAAATTTGCATTACCTGAAGGTCACAGTAGCAGCCGGGTGATACTTACTACTCGAGTAGCAGATGTAGCCCATGCCTCAAGTGTTGAATTTAATAGCTATGTGCACCAACTGCAACCATTGTCTTCTGATGACTCTTGGACTCTTTTCTGCAAGAGGACGTTCAGAGATAATTGCTGCCCTGGTCATCTCGAAGATGTTGCTCGTAGAATATTGAGAAAATGCATGGGATTGCCACTTGCAATTGTCGTGATTAGTGGAGTTCTGGCCTTAAAAGACAAGGGGAAGATAGATGAGTGGAATATGATTGAATGCAGCCTTGGTGGTGAACTTGAGGTTAGTGGTAAACTTGATGCGGTTCGGAAAATTTTGTTGCTTAGTTATGATGAGCTCCCCTATCATTTGAAGACTTGTTTGTTGTATGCAAGTATTTTCCCAGAGGATTACAAAATAAATTGCTTTAACTTCCTTCCATATTTGACTGCGGAAGGATCGGTAGTAGACAAGTTAAGAATGACAAAACTTGAGGTGGAACAAGCCTATCTCGACGAGCTCACTAAACGGAGTTTAATTCAAGCCTTAGATGGACCTCACGGGTTGAGTGTTAGGGTTTATCAAATTCATGATCTCTTGCGGGAAATCCTTCTGTTGAAGTCAAGTAGACAAAATTTTGCAACCATAGCCGTAGGGGAGCAAAGGATGAGGTTTGCAAAGAAGGTTAGACGCCTGGTGTTCCATGGTTTCAAATCCGATACGGAGGTTAACGCCATGTGTTTCAAGTACTTGCGATCTTTGATTTTCATCAGGTCTTTGGAACCTCTGTCGAAATCCCAGCTGTCTCACATGTTATGTGCTGGTTCTAAACTATTGAAGCTATTGGATTTGGAAGGTACAGCTTTAGAGGAAATCCCAGAACAAGTTTTCAAATTATTTCATCTCAGGACTTTAAATCTCAAATGTACAAGATTGAAGATGATATCAAAGTGCATTGGGTGTCTAAAGAATCTAGAGTTTTTAGATGTTTCATACACGAAAGTGAGTAAGTTACCGGAAGAAATACTCAAGCTAAAGGGACTGATTCATCTAAATGTGTTTCAATGTAATCCGAGCACAAGATTTACCTTCAAAGAATTTAAAGGTCCAAACAACATTTCCAAGCTCTCTTCTTTGGAGAGGTTGCTTTGCGTAGGAGCGAATGAAACAGTGATCAAAGAGATAGGAATGCTCAAGAAATTGAAAGTACTAGCAATTACGATCCTAAGAAGAGGAGACGAGCAACACCTTTGGTTATCTCTTGGGAATCTCACCCATCTAAGAGAATTACATCTTCAAGCTGCAAATGATGATGAGGTAATTGATCTTAACGACACCAACATTACATTTGGTTCAAGTTTCCGAAATCTACAAGTTGTGTTTTTGAAAGGCCGCTTGGAAAGGTTACCCAAACTGGTATCTTGTTTACAAGGCCTGATCTCGGTTTCCTTGGTCTTGAGCAAGTTGATGGATGATCCACTTGAATCTCTCCAATACTTGCAGAACTTACGAGCGCTTCTCTTAGATCAAGCTTTCCAAGGAGAGCATTTATGCTTCAAGTTTGGGTTCTTTTTAAAACTTGAGAGGTTGACCCTTGTCAGCTTACATAATTTAGGGTGGTTGAGAGTGGAGGAAGGTGCAATGCCGAACCTTGGAATGCTTGGTATTATATCCCTTCCATCATTACAGGAATTCCCTTGGGGAGTTCAACACTTGACTAAACTCCAACATCTATATTTGGAATTGATGAGTGATGAAGTGACTATTGAACTGCAGAATCAAGATGAAAACTGTGAAAACTATCAAAAAATAAGTCACATCCTTCAAATTTTGATTTGGGATCATGAAGATGGATGGTGTAGGCATCCGCAATATTGGAAGACAAGGAAACCAAGAATGAACTCTCGGGGAAACCCGGTAAGTAATTACTCCAGCTGTTCCACAGCAAAGTTTTGTTTTCTTATTAATAATGAATCACAAGTTAAAAATTGGACCCTTAACTTTTCATCTTTTCTTAATTAATTTTTGAGCTGCTGTATAACAGTAGTTTCTTGTTTATTAAGGCACACCATGAGAGAAACAGCCGTCAGCAACCTGTGGGTTATTTATCCGTCGTTGCGCCGTCGGAGGTTGATTACTTTTGGTCATGAATATCATTTTCATGCAAGTAGTTAATTGAAAGAAGACCAAAAGAGAATTGAGAAAGCGGTCAATTCTTCTCTGCCGTAAATGTGATTAAGTTCGGTTAAATACATATATAAAGGTTTGTACCCAAAAAAAAAAATAAAATACAAAACTGGAGTTATCAACTCCGTAATCCAAGGAACTAAACCTTTTACATTTAAGTTTAACCTTTTACATATTTACTACATATACATTGTAATATTAATTAATGTTTATTAGCATCATTAATTTTTATTTGTTTTCTTTGATTTCGGATTAAGTTTGCAACTACGCGTACATGTTTCGCAGGGATGTTAATGAAGTTTATCTACCAACATTGCTCGAGGAATTGCAAGACTTCATCAAGCTTGTATCAGCATAAGTTCTGCATAAAAGTGGATATGTATTTGAGCATGAAGATTCATATATAGCGCCCAAATTGCGTAAAATTTCATGAAATTGATCACCAACAAATGTTTCTGTGAAGATATCAGCGACTTGCGATTGTGACGAAGTTGGCAGAGGAATCAAAAGTTTGGAATGAATGTAAAACATTAAGGAATATCTAATAATATATAAATCTAAAGAGTACATGAAGTGATGACTAATTTTTGAAAAATAGTTACAAACACCCACTACAAGAAAAATACATAAAAAGGCAATTATAATAGTATCTTAATAAATAATCTATGCTGAAATAAAACTTTTAGTGACAATGTGTTAATGTATGGTACGAATATCATATTATCCTTAATGAAGTATTAAGGTCATTATAAGTGTCACATTAGCCTATTTAACTATCTAGTAATTTTTATAGTTAACCTTTTACTATGTAATTTACCTTTTATGTCATTAAAGCTATGCCTTCTTATAGCAACCTAACATAACAATTTCAACATAATTCATTTAAAAATTAATTAGAGACAAACATGAAAGTATACCTTATTGTAATTCATTTAAAAAATTAATTAGAGACAAACATGAAAGTATACCTTATTGAGCCTGTCATCATAAAGACATAAACAACTAAATTGGACGAAAAATGGCACTCATGACCGTAAATTAAGACCAAAAAAAAAGAAGGAAATATTCAACTTGTTAGTAAGTGACACTAAATTAAGGATTCAAGTAGTTTGAGTACATTAATTGGCGTCTCACGTACTTCAATAATTTCTTGTTTTCCTGACAAATGGAAAAGAAGTAATGTAAAATATTGTTGTCCAAAAAAGATTGGTTGCCTCGAGGAGTGTTTGGAATGCTGTTTTGGTGAGAATATGGGAAGTAGAAATATCTTCTATGTTGGGAATGGAGAGAGATCTAATAACACGATAAAATATGATTGTTATAACAATATTTTTCCGTCTCAAAAAATATTAGTCATGTTTGAAATACTCATGTCTTTATTATAAAATATTTTGATTTTTCTTAAGTTTTATTTATTGTGTTTTTTTGAATTAAAAAAAATCTTAAAACTATTTTATAATAATGGGAAAAACACAATGAATATGAAAATGTATTTTTAACATCTTAGTTTTTTTTTTTTTTTTTTTTTTGAAGGAGGGTTCAGCATGGTGTTATCAATTCAGAAAATTATAGCTTATAAACTACAGAAAAACTGTTCAATATTATATCGTATTAAGCAATTTGAAGACGACTGTGGACATATTTGTTCTCTTTTTCTTTTTCTGCTATTCTGATTTTTCAAACCGAAACTTCTGATACAGAGACCGCTTTATTAATAAGATTGAAACTGAACCACTCATGACCTTTCGTGACCCATAAAAAAACTAATGAATTGCTGCATTCTTAAAATCATGGCATGCAGCTGCATCATTTTCCTCAAGATCAACAAGGAAAAGAAAACTTTTAGTCAAAAATTCAAATTGCAATTTCTTGACCCGCAAATGGCATCATCTACTTGACCGAGTTGGGTATGAGTATGACGGGAAACTTATAAGATGTCCCCGCCACAATCGTGTTTTGTCTCTCTATGATATACATTCTAATTACTTGTTAAAACTTTTGTAGTTTACTATAGAAAATTTTCATATGCAAATAATTTTTTATTTTTTTATTTTTTTGTATCAATATTATTTATACATTATAAAATTTAAAATATTTTATTGAATGTTTATACAATTAAAATTTGAATAAATAGGCATTAACCTGGAGCGTTTAGCTCTAAAATGTATTACTAGGAAAGCGTCTGAAAATGGTGTAAATATAACTCTAAAATAAAATTCCTATAAAATTATTTAAATGTGTAATATGGAGCCTTAAAAAAAATAAATAAATAACACAAAGGAACTTGTGCCGCTGTGATTATGTTTTTATTGTAACAATCTTTCAAACGTAATCATAATTATAAATGATCATACTAATTTATTTAAGAGTAATTATTGTTACATAAAAAATTGTAAGGAAAATATATAGAGAATGGATTATAATCATCCATAATTAAATCTTATCTTTAGGGTATAACCGTTTAAGGTTAAGAAGATAGTTAAGATTTTGCCAAGTCATTTCTGATAAAGTTTTTTGTTAAATTTTTCCTGTATGTATCACAACTCATTTCCCAAAGAAATTATAACTTTCATCGAGAATTTTAGTTATACCTAATAATCGTGGCGACCTAGACTCGGATTCTAACTGACAAGTACAAATTTGGTGATTATACCGTGGTTCATCAAATTCAAAATACATTTGAACCTAATTACCATCACTACTCCGACTCCTCTCTTCCATTAAATTGTGGCGTAGTAATCAACGGGAAAAAAATAAAATAAAAAACCGACTCTCTTGTATGGTGTTATATGATACTCCGTAAAAGGTACATACATGGCCGAAAACTAAACCATGTACAGTTAAGACACCAAAACAAAAATAATATCATCACATTTTTCCCTCTTGAAAGCCTGCCAATTAAGCAAACTCTTTTTCAAGCAACAAAAACATACCCAGTTCCTCATCAGTCATCTCAAGCTTTTAGCACTGTCATTTTATTACAGATCATATCTCATAATTCAAACAACATAAACATACCCACCCACTATATTCTCAACTAGGTTGGGATCAGCTGCAACATTACACCTGTAATTATACAAAAAAAGTGTTCAAGATACGATCATTTGTTGTATTCATTTCCACCGTCACTTATGTAAGTACTCTTTTAGCCATGTCATTTGAGTGTAGACCATATCATAAATTGAACATCGTAAACATCAACATACCCACCCATCATATTGCCAACTAAGTTGGGGTAAGTGAAACAACCCTATGCATGTAACTAGACAAACAGGCTGTCCGACACATATTGCAAGATTTGATAAATCGATTTCTATTAATTTTACTAGAAGAAGAAACACTAACATCCAATTGAGCCATTTTGATCAAATCCCGTATTAGCGTACAAAGCTAAAGAAAAAAAATATTGACGATCTTTTGCCTCCATTTACGATTGACATGCTATCATGATTTGAGCATAATTAAATAAAAAAGAAATTAGAGAGAACTGTAATATGCCTATAAAGCGAATCATAAACGACCAAGTTGGATGAAAATGGCATTCATGACCATTAAAGAAATAGAGTTCATGAATTAGTTTTCTTAAACCAAAAAATAATAATAATAATAATAAGGAAAGAAAAAGAACATTCAATCTGCTTGTATCTTATATGTCAATAATTTCTTGCCACCGTTTTAACAAAAAAAAAATAATAATAAAATTAAATTAAATTCTTCTTTAGATTGCGACTAAGTCAACCCTCTAAGACGTTAAAAAGAGAATAGAGAACACAAATATTGGAGATTAGATGATTGTGCAATCCACTCAACGATGTTCTAAGTTCTGACAGAAAGTTATCAAGTATATAACTTTTGACGAGTCCATATCTATCAAGGATTACCGGACTGGCCGATCCACGAATTAGGGCCTAACCGACCTTACAAAAGCGGTTCAGGAATAAGAACCTTAATGGGATTCGGCTTCCGTCAAGGAAATTCCATGCCTATAAATAGGGATGATCACACCACAATTATAGTACGCTATCTCTAGCTCCAATAACTATACACACGTTACTCCATAACCCCATTTTCTGACTTAACCATCGGAGTGATACAATTCCAGGCTTCGTCAAGTGGCACGCCTAGTGGGACCCAAAAATTAGGGTTTGTGTCACAAGCTTTCTTAAGATTCTGAAACACTCTCAACCTCTCGCCGCTGTTGCAAAGTAGGGATCTTCTCCGAAAAAGATAGCCATAATTTTCAAATCCCAATTTAGCACAACGTCAACAGGCAGGCAACCAAGCCCCGACGACAATGAAACCCTGGCTAAGTTCCAAGAACAGCATAGGCGAAGAAGGGGTAGCCCCCAGTCAAGGAAAGAGAAAACTCCCATACAGACAACCACCCATGCTGAAGAACGAGTGGAGAAACGTGACAAACACGCTAGGGCAAACGATCCACACGATGAAGAGCGGTTGGTAGAAATTAAAGCAGAACTCAAAAAGTTGCAAGACGATAACACTTCCAATCAAAGGAAGAAAACGTACATCTTGGAAGAATACCGACGCCATTTTTGCTCGGTCTATCTTATCCAACAGATCAGGAGTTGAAAGACATAATTGATGAGAAGGAAGCATGTAGGACGTTGGCCTTGCTCGAGAAGAAAAACGGCAAACGTAAAATTCAAGATGAAGAAGGCGAGTAAGATTACTGAGAAACCCCCAACCGCGAGATCTCTCACGAAGAATTTTCAACTGCTCGCAGCACAGCCTTTTGGCAGTCGTTTGGAAGAGGGTTTCCGGCATTCGAAATAGCGCTTGAATAGTTTTCCAAAGAATATTGGCGCAAGAAGCAGTCTTGCAACCAACGTCGCCAAGGTT